CTACCAAAGAATACCATCCAAAACAAGTGTTACTTACTCTGGGCTGTTGCCCGTATCTCTTATCTCTGTACAACTTGGAAGATGTAGAACAACTTAGCTTCAGTCTTCACTATCTCTTTGTATTGGAATATGACAAAGAAAACTGAAGGATGGTCTCTTGAATGTTTACAGTTTCATGTCCCACTTTCAAGGAGATTGAATACCATCACTGATTATTTATATTTAATAACCATCTGTCTTAGTTCTTTCTCATGCTTAACCACAATTTAAGCCAATTTTCTTTAGAATATTCTTATATTGCCCTTAACTCCTATTTTTCCCAAATCTTTTAATAACATGATACTTTAATTATTTTATTTTGAAACTGCTTCCAAGAACATAGAAACAGAATGAGTCAATTCTGTTGCCTTGCAGGGATTCTAAAACTTTGGTGTGAAAATGAATCACCTGGTATGTGTTGGGGAGTGGGATGGGGTAGTTAATTACAGACTCCAAGAACCTACTCCCTACCATTCCTGATTCGAGAAGTTTACAACATGGCCCAGTACCCTGCATTTTAAGTCTCCCTCAAACCCCTTGCTGGGCTGGCATGCAGATAACGCTGAGCATTTTCAATACTACCCATTAAAATCAGCATGGGTCAGAGGAATTTCTTTGATATACAGCACCAACCTCACATCTTTTATTTTTCTCCATCTTTCCAGCTATCTCTGATATTTTCCAGTCCAGTCAGCCTGGAATACTTACATACCCTCAGTGCTATGGATGCTCTGTTTCTTTTCCAAGATATTCTTCCCTCTCTTTCCATTTGGAAAACTCCTATTCAGTTATGCATGAAGGCTCAAAAAAATACTACCTCTTTATCCTTTTCTACAAAAATGGTCATAATATGTATTTCTTTTAAAGTGATTATTATAATCACAGTTACTAGTTCATGTGTTTTCCATGCTAATTCTGTGAATCCCTCCTAAATAGAATAGGGAATATCCCATATTACATAATCAATGAATTTGTTGAATTATAGCTCTGACTGATGCTTTACTTCTAAAATGACCTCCAAAGACACCTAGGAGGAAGAAAGGGGAATAGTTGTCATCCTCATCATTGTTCTGTTGAAACAAACATAATTTTAGTATCTCTCAATTTTTAAATTTTGTTCCACAAAATGTAACTTCTACTTGAACAATTATTTTTTCAGAGAAACTAGTGCTAGGAGAGTATTTCTTGCTTTGTTAAACAGCCTTTGATCATACTACTTCAACATCCCGAAACAGAAACATTTAGCCTTTGAAAGTGATTTCCTGAGAAAACAAATTCTAGAAGCTAATTCTGATGTCACAATAGAAAATTAGAAGTCATGTCACTGGATGATCTAAACTGAGTCTTGCTTATTAACTAAGTCCTTAGAATCTGGTAAAAGGGCTATGTGACAGAGCCATTTTATTCGTGGAATTCCAGTCTTTTAGAATGGCCAAGGTAATAACTTGGAAGAGACTTGAATGGCAAGAAATACAAAAACAGTTTTCCCTATGTGAGGCAAAATATCCACTGCAAATCATCTGTGAATCTACAGCAACAGAGAGGCTTTCAAATGTAAGTGTTGTTTGTGAGTGTAAATAAATCATGCCCAAATCAATAACCTATTTCCAAGAGTATATGGGAAGGAGACTTGCATAATGATGTTCAGTTTAACTTAGTGTTAAAACCTTGTCAACATTGACAATTAAAGTGTGGAGAGACTGATGTTATTCTTGCTTAGTGCACAAGGAAACTTGTTTGCTTCATAAACTCATCCTAGTTAGAAGGATTCTCATTAGCTGGCGGACATTTCCATCACTATCTGACATTTCTAAATCTGTTGTTGATAACCCCCAAATAATGATCCCTTTCTACTCTTATCACATTACCAGACTATCTCCAGGCTAGAGTCTTCCTCTTTCCTTCCTCTGGCTTTTATGTATTTCTCTTCCATAGTTGTGGCTGTGAGTGGTCATGTGGAGTTTTATGTAACTGACCGAACTCCTGCCTGATTAATCTTTATAATTACTCAATTCAGTCACTTGCCGCCTCCTCAATTTTTCCAAAGACATCTCATCTTGTATAGCCAGCATATAATTTAGGGGAAAAGTGTTCAGAAAAAGTATAAGGTTTAACTATAAGCAATAAATTTTGATTTTGAAACACAAGATATCGTCAGCTTCATTTACAATTCTGGGATCTTGAAGACCGGGAACACTTTTCTGCCCTTTTTATGTACAATAACACACAACCCTAAACCACTCTGTTCTCAGCTAGCTAAACGTATCAGCTTTTTATGAGACCCTCCCAGTGCAATCCAGCCCACCCAGACCACAGGGATATTTCTTTTGTCACTTACTGTATTCACTTCTAAGCTGGCACTTGGCACATATATAGACTCCCCAAAGAGGCTGCACATTCCTCACATTTAGGAGCTAGGCTTTACATTTTTTTTATCCCCCACAGTACACAGTTCCATACTTACCAATTCCCTACTCATCAACCCTTCCAAAACCACATGGGATTTCCTGCAATATTACATAGGTAATTTTAAACTTTGAAGTCCCAGTGAGATCAGCTACATCTATTTCCTAGGAAATATTTTTTTTACATCCCCAATAATTAGAATAACCAAAAGGTATGGAGTTAAAACAGGAATTGGTCTTCCAAAATCAATATATAGCTTCTATCATGGATTCTGCCTTTCTTCAGATGTCAAATTGTATATAACTTACTAAGTGGTTTAGATTTAGCCAATTAATCAAATGATATTGTCTATTTAAAATAAATGGCTCAAGCACATATATCACAAACTAGCACTATATCAGATAGGCAGCACATTTTAAAACCTAGTTTAAACGGAATGATTTTTCTGGATTTAATAATTGTATGTACAACATAAAAACTATATTTTATCAACTATTCAATCATTTTCCCATAAACCATTTCTTCAAAAATATATCATAAAACCATAGATTTTTTGAGCATGGACGCATTAGAATATCTCTTTTTGATCATCTACCATTTTACAAATGAAAAAAACTAAGGCCCGAGAGATCTAAGTAATTTTCTTTGAGTTACCTAACAAGTTAAGCCCAGAGATAGAACTAGCATACCAAACGTTCAGACCCCAAATTAAGGCAACTTTCATTCCACTTCACTGTCTCCTTTAGAGCATAATGTATGTATTTTAAAATTAAACTTTTAATACATATACAATGGATTTAAAAAACACTGAACATCACTGTAAATGAAACATGCACATGAAGATAAATAAGTGCATGCACAACGCATTCCATGATAGACTCTCTGAATTTGCACAAGCGCACAACACAACCGTTCTTAACTCACGAAGTTTAAAGATGATTGTGTCCCAAGGGTTTGAAAATATGAGCATTTCTTACCTGGCAGCTGTATGAGGGGTTGATAAAAGACATTAAAAACTTGAGCTATGATTAGACATCAGATTTTTCTAGCACTGAAGGTTTGCTTCTACCTGGGTTTCAGGGGTCTAGTACTTTTAATGGAAGGTAGGTCAGAGACTTGAGGGGGATAATCCAACATATAAGACTGGCATTATTGCCCACATTGCAATATTAGGTTGCCTGCAGGTGATTGTCATCAAAATCTTTCCACTGGCCAGTTATGGCCCTACCATTTGTTTTTTTTTTTTTTTAATCAGGCCTGAAATCTTTACCATATAGTCACTTATTTAGGTTAGAAAACGTAGCTAATCAAATAACTTAAAAACCCATTCCCAAACCCCAGGGTACAAAAGAGGGCAGTATCAGCTATAGTACTTTTAAATATAAAATGTATAACTTTGGGGATCAGGGATTTATGCATAACAAAGAAGCTGTTGATGAGACAGAACGGACTCTTCATTTTAAACTGAAACCAATCTTCAAAACAAATGTTCATCATGGCTAGTTAACTAGGGATGTATATTTTGGAAAAATAAAAATAAAAAAGAATAAGACCCTCTTTAAATATTTTATAATACTCATAATCCATACCAGGATGCTTTCATCTCACCCTACGAAAAAAACAGGGTCTCACATTCTGACGGTCAAACACTTCTAAAAACACCCACCCTCATGCTTTGATATCCCTTAAAGAGTCAACTACCTCCATGAACTCCCTTTACCCTTTTATACAAAAGCTTGCATCTTGACAGTTTTAACAGGTACCCAGGAAAGAACAAGGAAAGAACTGCTCACTCCAGTTGACTTTTTCTTTCTAAATACTAAGGCATATAAAAGAACGAATCAGTAATATAATACAAACCCAAATGAAACAACAGCAGCTTTTCATGCCTCTACCAAGAGACACTATAAAACAGCATCAGTGTTTATGACGGCAACAACAAAAATGGGCAGCAAATCTGGCTTTGACACCTTGAAATGGCTGTGAACTTAAACTTGCAGGAGTTGTAACTTTTTTCAAAAAATGAACATTTCAGTCATTGCATTAGAAAGCTTTCATTTGTTAACACCCAAAGCATTTGTTGATAATCCTCGTGTATCATCCTCATGTACATTTTAATCTCCTCAATTTTAGAAGGACCCACTGATTATCAGGGCAAACATCAGTAAAGGATATATCATGACCCTGAAATCTTCCAAACAAAGAAGAATACATCCTTCTGACTAGCTTTCCTTAGAGAAGCTCACAAAGAGACTACAGAATGGATTCATTCTACATATGCCATGACTTTCAGTCCCAATGGGAAGAAAGACTGAGAAATCAAGAAATAAAAATACCATTTTCACTTCTCAAGTTTAGACCACAATTGAAGAATATATCTGTGCTGTGGAATTTCTGACCCACATAAAGAATAAATAGGTCATTTGCCCAAAGTTGGTCTAAATATCAAGAGGCCTTAAGTGGGCACATTTTCATTTCCCTAAAATCCATCCCCCCTGCCTTCAGAATTAATGATTACAATGAAAGACATTAGATTAGAAAGTCAAGTTACTCACCATGGAGGAATCACTGCTTCCACTCCCGATCGGAGCTCCCTCAGCACAGGTTGGGAGGTGGGTAGAAAGTTGACTAGCCCTGCCCCCATCTATGACATCACAATCTACCTCATAAAAGGTAGTGAAAGTGCTCTGAACTCCTGTCTGATTTCCGAGAGATACAGAAAAGAGAGAGTGAGAGAGAGAGCAAGAGAAAAATAAAACGTACCCTACTTGGGAAGGGATTAGGGAAGTGGAAGAGGGAATGGATAACTGGGTGAAAGAGCTATATGAAGGAATTAGGTGCTGAAAGAGATATACATTTCTTGACTTTAAGCTGGCTGGCCATTGGATTTCTTATTGGCTCTTGAACAGATAAAGGAACCATGTGGGAGGAGAATGAAGATGCACCCTGCCTTGTCAGGCATTGTAAGGGACAACTGTAGTGGGGCGCAAAGGGGGTGAATCCCCTATTTAAAGTGTTGAAGATCACCAAGAGAGAAGGCAAGGGCTGCAGCTCTTAAAGCCTGGAACAGTACATGGGGATCCCAGATGTGTTTCTTGGATGTTCCATCGCCCTGCTGTGTGACCTTCCTTAACTTATTGGCCTCTGCACATCTAACCTCTGTACATGGTCCTCTACTAAAGGGATACTTACCTCTTTCATTGGGATCAACGAAAGACTAAGGCATACATTGTTGCTACAATTCCAACTCTTGACTCTTCCTTTTAACCCAAGGGTGGACTGTGTGAGGGGCATAATTTAAAAGATAAGCCAATAACCAATGCCCTTTTCTACCTTTGGAATCCTTTCATTAAATTCTTTCAATTTAAAATGCTGCTGAGAATCTTGACTTTTTTGTGTGTATCAAATGCAACTAAAGGGAGTCCATTTTTTTTTTTTTTTTGAGATGGAGTTTCGCTCTTGTTACCCAGGCTGGAGTGCAATGGCGCGATCTCGGCTCACCACAACCTCCGCCTCCTGGGTTCAGGCAATTCTCCTGCCTCAGCCTCCTGAGTAGCTGGGATTACAGGCACACACCACCATGCCCAGCTAATTTTTTGTATCATTTAGTAGAGACGGGATTTCACCATGTTGACCAGGATGGTCTCGATCTCTTGACCACGTGATCCACCCGCCTTGGCCTCCCAAAGTGCTGGGATTACAGGCTTGAGCCACCGCGCCCGGCCTGGGAGTCCATTTTCAAAACTGTAGGAAAAAATCAAATGGCAAGTCTTCTGCAATCATAAAAAAATGCAATGCCTCTCTCAGAGATGGAGTTACATGACCCAGTGATGCCAACTGATCAAATGTTTCTGTCATGGATGATTTCTGCTATCGTCATAGCTTTACTTCCCAAGTCCAGTTTTCATAGAAAACAAGACAAGATGTGAGCATGGCATGTAGAGTACTAAAGTATTTTTTAAAATGAAAATGCAGGAGTTTAAAAATAGAATACTCAAAGTTATGGATTATGGCAAAACAAAAGTAAAAGACACTATTGAAGAGCAGGCATATCCTGAAACCATCCACATAGAAGTCAGAGCTTCATCTGCCTAGTGGAATCCATGAAAAGTGAAACCAGCTCTTTCCACAGAAAAATATTTAGTAAACCTAGACACTCAAACAATAGTTTGCAAATTATGGCATCACAAATGGGGAAAAACCAAAGTCTATTTCTATATACAGATAAACAAAAATCCTAATTTGGGATTTGCTTTTCTGTTTTAAGCCAATATAATTCTATTTCTAAGCCTGTCATTCTTAGCATACTAAATACATAAGTGTATTACAATAATTGCAATTTAAAATTAAGCAAAATTGGCAGATTAGAGAGCAGTTTGAAACACAGAAGCTACTAAATTCAAACTGATTATGAATCTGGCAACGTCACGTCCATTTTTCACTTCAAAATAAATGTTAGAGACATTTAAAGAATGTGTCTAAAGAATTAAAGTCAATAGGAAAAAAATCTTGCATATAAAAAGATGGGTGTTGTTCCTATATTTGACTTTTTTCTGTACTTATGAGAGGAGGCATATATTTTCCGTGCTGTATTATTTATTATTTTCAACAATTATAAGTCTAAATTCAAATGCTATATTTAACAGATTTCTTTGTATGAGATTTTACAATTAATGGCCCTATGAGGTTTTATTTTTCTCTCCACCTTTACATATTGGACCATTGACTAGTTGGCTTATCTTTAATTTTTTATAACAATCTCATTTGGTTTTATAAGTTAGGCAACTTCTGATTTTCCTATTGTAGGAAATAAATTAGTCATTTATCACAATTTCCCAGTTTTAAAAATTATTATGTATTAGAAACTTATTCTGATCATCTCATAAAAAATTTAAAGGTCATTAATACTAATGATGCAATTGTCCATTCTTCCAATAAACACCTTAAGTTTTTAACTACTGAACAAACAGATGGTAGGATTCTCCCAATGTTAAGATATTAGAATAAAAATGGAGTTAAACATTTTTAAAATATTGAAATAAAACAAAATGAACTTAGATTGTCTATTGGCATGTCTTATAATTGCCTGTTGTCACTTTGGAAATGGAGCATGACTTCAGGAACCCAATGCAAAACTAGGCTGCATCAAAAGGATGCGGAGTGGTGAACTGTGCTGACCTCTTAGGAGAATTTAGTATGGCTGATTGTGATAGTAATGCCTTTAGTTATGACATTAGTTAAAATAATAAAACTGTCTTTGATAAAGGAAGCAAAGCTAGGATCAGATAGTTTCCAAATCTTAGGATCTAATGACATTTTTCATGAAAACTAAGTTCTATTCCAATTATAGATTTGCTGCATACTTCTCATGATATTGCAGAAATGGGTAAGAAGCCCTTTAAGACAAGATACAAAGTGTTTTCAAGATTTCAGTAGTCAAGAGACTCCATTATTATAGTCAGAGTTATAATTTCATTCTGACCAGACAGATGTAAGGCTGGTCTCAAATGTTTGTTTGAGGTTAAAAAAAAAAGTTGTTTAGCTTCTTAGCACAAAAGATTGAGAAAAGTCAGGTGGAATAATATGGGCGTTTCAAAAGAACAATCTGCAGATGCATTTATCATGTAATTCATCATGAAAGACATGGTCAAGCATTTTTTCATGTAAGTTGACCAATATGTTATAATTGAAGAGAAAGACCTCAGTAAGAGGGGCTCCAATAAATGTGGATAGCAGCAGATTCAAATTGGAAGTTTTCAGATAAAGAGATGTTCTGATTTTGTTTTATGGTAGTGTCTCACATACAGAAATTTGGGCTGACAAAAATACATGGTTCTTAAAAGATGGTGTTGACCATAACTTCTCCAGGATAGTCTCAGTTGCAAAAGAGATTTGCCAAAGAAAATAGATGAAAGAGGTCAAGAGGCAGGTTACACCGATTTGACAGGACATCTAGCCAGATTTCCAGTCAATTTTATTCTCAGCAAGGCATCTGCTCAGATGAAGGTATTCAGAGAGAAGTAATAAAACAAGATATAGTATTGATGATAAAAGAAAAGATTATACGTCTAAATTAAGAAAGCTTGCCCTCAAGAAAATAGAATTAGGATGAAGTATTTGAAATATATTTATAGCCTAGAAGGAAAATGACTATTTAAGCCAGAGTAAGGCAATGTGTTCTAATGCGGTAAAAGAAATCTGAATGAAGAAACTCCATATTGCCCATCCAGAAACCCTTCTTATTTGTAAGATACATGGGCCATAATGTGATATATATTTCTCTTCTAAGGGCTATGTTTAAAGGCATATTTTATAAATGATTTATATTAGGCTGGATAAAGAACTTGACAAAATAATCTTCAGGGACAGAATGTAGACGACAGTAAGTTAAACACACTTTTATTTCTAGAATATAGTAAACCAAGAAAACAATGAATGCACAGAGATAGCCATCAACAGATACTCTACTATTCTAGCTGAAAACCCAATTTCAGTGAGTTGAGAAACTAAATGGAAAAAAATAAACATAGACTACACAGTCTAATAAAACCACACTGGACATAAAAATTTATCCTTTCCATGAAGATTATTTGGAATTAGAGATAAAGAGACTTTAAATTCCTCAACTCAACCAAAATATATCACTGTGCCTTTTACATAGTAGGGATGCAGTAGAAATGTTGAATTCAGTGAATCAGAAAATATTCTTATGTGAACAAGAAATAAATTCACCTCTTTGAATCTCTAATTGTTTGCCATTGGAAATTAGAAACAACTTATGGAAACATTGACTTTTTTTGAGAAAAACATTATTGTCAAAAGGTCATCAAATCCAGTTCTGAATAAAAAAAAATCCTGACTCAGTTTTGCTATGGATTCTATCTTCTTTATTTTTAACCAGCTAAGGTAATGGAAAGATGTGTAAAATAAATGACAAAATCCCCAGATAATCTTTAGCTTGATTTTAATACCCATTCTCTTTTACCTATTCATAGTCTATCACTTTGTTCACATATCAACTTTTTTCTTCAACTGACTTCAGTCCATGAATTCCTGGGGAAAGCCCAAATAGAAATAAGCTAAAAAAAAATCACAATGGATTTAAGTAAACAATTTTAAATAATCTGTTTCTTGACTAGAGCTGGAAAATTCAGTGTTTACAGGGCTCAATTTACAGATACTGTGTCTAAATTAAGGTTTTTAACTCAACACTTTGGCGTCCCATAATTGTATATCTGGATTTACTTTTACACATCCAAAACGGGTTCAAAACTGGGGATAGGGTGGCCTTTAAGGTACTTCTCAAAGCATTAATTATTTGAAACATTATTTGAAATGATATTTTAAAATTATTTTAAATAAAAATCTTGGAATGAAATCAGACAATTCTCATAGATGAACAAGTAACAAAATTAAAATATGGGGAAGCTTTATAAAATAGTACTTTTTAAATAGGTTTGTCTGGATTTTACAGATATCCCAAGATATAGTCATCCCTTGGTATCCATGGGGAATTAGTTCTGGGACCCCAGCAGATACCAGAATTCAAAGATGTTCAAGTCTCTGATACAAAATGGCATAGTATTTGCACATAACCTATACATATCCTCCCATATGCTTTAAGTAATCTCTAGAATACTTATACCTACTATAATGCAAATGTTATATATTATATAAGTACTATATTGTGTTTTATGTG